TGAAAAGAAAGAAAGAAAGAAAGAAAGAAAGAAAGAAAGAAAGAAAGAAAGAAAGAAAGAAAGAAAGAAAGAAAGAAAGAAAGAAAGAAAGAAAGGAGAAGGGAAGTTCAAACCTATAGAAAGAGCTTGGCATGCTGTTGCATGCTGCAGACTAAAATGGTGGCGTAGGGCCTCGTCGCCAGGCTGAGGGCATACAGCAGAGCCTCAGACATTTTTCCTGGGATCCAGAATAAAACAAAAACCGGCCCCTCAGGCTGCAGGTAGACCCAACCAATTAGTTGTAATAAGTTGGAGAAACACCAGAAATGTACCTACAGCATCATTTCCCCTCAATTCCTCTTTATGAAATGCATTTGGACTGTTAGAAAGAAAGCAGGATAGAAATAAAAGAAAATAAGCTTCAATGTCCTCTCTGCCTTCCTGGAAGTTGTTACTGATGGTATTTAACACAATGTTGAAGAAGAATGGAAGTATGCAGGTAAATATGTAACAGAACAGAAGTAGATGACAGTTTCTGTTTTAAATCCTGAGCCAGACCTCACCCAGACTTGCTCCTACAAAAAAATTTGCAATCCCTCCACCTAAAGAAATAAAAAAAAAATGTGCAGTGAAAACATCCAGTTGCAATTTTAAATGGACGTAGACCTCTGATGGTTTTTAAAATGATTGAATATGCAAGGAGATTCGATTTTTACAACAGCATCTAAAGGTGTGATGGTGACATCAGGAGTACAGTATTACAAGCAGCTGCAGTAGCCTTAAAAACATTTCTTCAGAAAACTTAAGGTGGGCCCAACATAACAGAGGACTCACAGATCCATCAGACAGCATTAGCAGTATTTAATAATGCTCGATAGGGACTCCTTTAGGCTTGGATAAGGCCCAGCTGCAACCACCGAGTATGATGAAAACTAACAATGTGATCTCTATCAACCTCTTTAGAGTGTAAACATGCTTTTTAAGCACCTGTCTGTGTCCCTAGTCAGTCTGATCTGTAGTCTTCTGCAACCCCATCACTGCACTCATGATTCCACCACTTCTAACCTCTGCTGTCGTTTCCAGATGTTTTCCCTCCCTTCAAGTCAAAGTATCACCATTACCATCTCTGATCTACTTGTGGACAGAATTGCATCTCTTTTTGAGAGCTGATAGGTCATTTGTCGTTGTTAGTAATTATTTGGAGGTTGTTGATGTTCCAAGTCTCCGAAATGCAACAAAAAGACAATTTAGTGTTCTTAAAATTCCAAGCTGTGATTTGCAGAAGTATTCATACCAGTTTATATGTTCTTTCTTTCAAATGTATGTTACAGACCAACACAATTGGGTAGTGAAAGGAATATTATACATGATGCTAAAAGACATTTAAGATTATAAGAAGTTTTTCTATATCTAAAGGCATGTCTTAAACCACCCAGGGACTGTCAGGGCAAGTACAGTCCGATTGGATGCAGAATTTCTTCAAAAGGTAATTTTAAATTCTGACCAGAGAATATTGGTAGGATACAGGTCTAGCTTACAATAGGCTATTTTAAAACATGAATACAATTTGATTCAAACCCATCCATTGAAGGTCTGGTAGTGAATTTAGGTTTGATGCTGCAAGATGAACATCTACCCCAATCTTAGACCTTCTGCTGTCTGTATCATTTTTTTTTCCATGATTATCCTATATTTAGCTTTATGCATCTTCCCTCCTGGTGCATCAGGGGGTGGGGGGATTGTTCTATAACCAGTGGGTTGATGGTTCAACCCGCTGTCTGCCTTAGTTGTTCCTTTGGGCAAGACACCTCGCCCACCTTGCCTGTTGGTAGTGTTCAGCTGCTAAAGCAGCATCACTTCTGCCAGCCAGTCCCAGGACAGCTGTGGCTACAGAGTAGCTCACCACCATAAGTAGTTGAACATGTGTGTGATTGACTGAATGTAGTGTGAATCATTTCAGAGTCCTTGGATTTGAGCAACACAGAATGTCACCTCTATGTTTTCTTGGAGCTCTTGGAGCTCCCTACAACACTTTTGTAAAACTACAAATTGGAATAAAGACTCGATAAAGAAGACATTTGTTTCAATGGCTAAAAGTTGAATTTCAAGAGATTGCCTGAACTTCTTCCACTTCTCCCAAGTTCTTCATCTATGCACCTTCTGGCTGCCTCTCTGATCATTACCCTCCTTGCCTGGTGTGCCAGTTTGTGGGGAATTCATTGCTTACCAAGTCTGCAGTTGGTCCATGTTCTCTCTGTGTTCACATGATGGACTGGACTTTTGATATTATTGGTAAATGGTCTGTACTAATATAGCACGTTTTCAAGTCAGGAGACTTGACCAAAGCACTTTACACTACATTCAGTCATTTTCCAATTCATTCATACACTGATTGTGGCAAACTACATTCTAGCCAAAGCTGCCCTGCGGCTCACTGACAGAAGAGAGGCTGCCACACACTGGTGCCACCTGGCCCTCTGACCACCATTAGTAGGCAATGTGGATATAGTGTCTTGTCCAAGGACACAACAAGATTGAAGGCCAGAGCCGGGGCTCGAACCAACACAACTCAAATTGCAGGGCAAACTCCTGCACCTGACTCCACTGCCGTCCCACATTATTGAGAACCTCAACCTCCTTTAAAGTGAACCAGAACTATCTCCCTGAACTCTCTGTTTGGTTCTTGGGTCTACATGCTGATGGTTCTCTCATATGCCTCTCTGAGGCCTTCATAGAACAGCTGGATTAACACTTAGATAAAACTAAATAGTTGGATTCTATTTACTCATAACATGGCAGCAGAAGGTAGTCACGTAAGGATGTCCTGATAAATCTTCTTAATTTCCTGCTAATTTTCCCGATACAATATTAGCACAAATCATTTGTACTTCTTTGTATCTCATCTTTTATCTATATATATATCTTTTATCTCAAATAGAACACAATAGTAAACAACTAAAGGTATAAGAAAGACTGACCTATTTATTATTTACCAATGGGTCACAAAAACATTAGACGTAAGTATAACAGTATTCTTCATTTGCATAAAATAAATATAATACATTTGAAGATGGGAACCTTGAGTTTAATAAGTTTTGCACTCAGCTGCAATGATCTTTTCAGACTTTAATTAAAAAAATGTAGGATGACACTGCAGACATCGCTGCTACTCCTGTAGTGTAGCGTTTTATGCTCTGTTAACAGACAATGTGGTTGCAATCATGCCGGCCATGTGTGCGGGATACAAGCTCTGCTGGATAAAATACCAAAGCGGAGTGCTTTTCTCATAGATTTTTGATGAATGCCGATATAATCCGATTTTTTTTCTTCGATGAATTCTATTATCAATATAGATATCTAAACATATAGATATCTATAATCTTTTGATGATGCGGTAACATCACAATTTTCCCATTGTGGGACAATAAAGGGATTTTCTCTGGGATTGGATATCTCCAGTAGGTAGCTGCAGTGGACTGTACCCAGGTAAGGCCAGTCAATAGGGAAATTATTCTGACTTTTTCAATCAAAACCCATGTATTATTCTCCTTCCACTTTACAGGCATGTGTTTTGTTGTGTTGGTCATCAGCATCATACAATATGTCTAAGCTAATGGCTGAAATCTGAGAAAATGTTGGAAACACTGTCTGAATACTTCTACAAGGCACTGTGGAAGAAGTATTTCCTCTGATCCAAACTTTGTCTAAACTCTTTCATCTCAAATCTGCAACTCAAAGGGATCCCCATCCTCTGACTGACTTGTCTGGAGGTGAACAGAGTGTGAAGAACATACCTGGTAGCTTGTACCTGTAGCTCGATGTGACTAGTGGCATGAAAAGCTTTGATAAAATTCATAAGCAGCATGAGAAGCAGCTAAGCTACTTGGAGAACACAGATATATAAAGTGGTCTGTTACAGATCTACATCTGCACACGCTGCGTGGGTTCAGATGCTCCCACATGCACACATGCATTCAGGATGACATGAAAAATGAGACTAAATGAGCGTGGTTGGAAGGAGAACACCATCCTCAGGTCCTGAGCACAAACCCAACACCCCCAACCATCAGTAACAGCAGCCTGGCTGGCGGAGGAGGTAAAAGGCCAGAGGTTCAGAAAGAGGACGGGTGGGTTGCAAAATAAACAATACAATCAACAACATATTGCAAATGAGAAGAGAAAAAGTTAATAAATAAATGTAAAGATACAAATGTTTTTAAAACTATAATCTGACAATGAAACAGTCCATCAGTTCTGTCTGGACTGAGGAGTCAGACCAGCTCAGTCTGTTAGGGCCTATAGGAGCTTTGATAAGTCCAACATCTGGACTACCTTAACTCCCTGCAGCCAGGATCCTCCCCTGGGCCAATCTGCTGTCTTTGGGCTCAGCTTCTCCTCCACCCTGCCTGGACCCGGCTCAGCACGGGTTTCCCCCGATTTCAGCCCGACTAAGGCTGGAGCCCTCCTTGGTCCGGATTGGTCAGCCGGGAGATGGAGGCGCAGCAGATCTGCTGTAATACTCTTATGATTTTGTGGTGTTTCTAGCATAGGTAGGTTGACTCTGAAATCATTGCCGCCTTTAAATAAAAAAGTGGATAAACAAAATAGCCACTCCGATGTTGAGCAGAATCACCATGACAACCAGGATGGAGCTGTAGGCCTGCGTGGGAGAGAGAAAAGAGAGAAAAGAGAAGGTGTCAGAATGAAGCAAAGCTCACACACTTAAAGGCTGTTTTCAGTTCAGGTCATTAGTTGGTATCCACTCAACATGGGCATGAGTCCCACATTCAATTGGTACTTTTAGTCTTCATTTGATCCATTCTTTTATTCATGGTGGAATAGTTATAAAACATACAGCTGTTAGGATTTCTGAGAGAAAAAACTGAGTGGGTAAGTAGAATTTATGGTCAAATCAAGATAGAAATCCCGAATGTATACCCTCCTATTAATGTTTTTCTAAATGTCTCTTAACAAGAGCCCCAATACGAACACACACTTTCTGGAGCTGCCAACCTGCTCCTGGAATCATTCCTGCAGGATATTTCAATCACAAGTCCTCCAGGAACTGATGAAATTCATCTAAACTGGTTGGTTTTCTGCACACACCAGACTGTTAAACACAGAGCGAAGTGGGAGCTTTGGGATGAGCCGCTGATTATGATCCTGCTGTTCTTATTAGGGTCATTGTGCAGCTGGAACACCGGCCTGTTTCAAGGCTTCAACTGTCTTACAAGCATCCAGGTGGCTCATTGCTTTATCCAACTGCCTAGAGCAGATCCACAGCATGATGATTCCACTCCCATGCTTTACAGTTGATACAGTTTTCCTATGCTAAAAAGTCTCACTCACTGTTCGAAATAGACTCTTGGGCCATCATTTCCAAATAGCTAAAGCCTGGATGTTGTTTTGTTTTTTGTTTTTTTTCAGCTGGAGAAATTTATCCAGGGATAAAGCCACTACATAACATAAATGATCAGATCAGCCTTAAAAAGTCGCAAATGCAAGTGTACTTAAAGTATACTATTTTCAAACCTGAAATTGCTTGTAGTTTAGTTATCAATGATCTACTGAAATAAGTTAATGTTTTACCAGAATGTGGCTTATACTAAAAGTGTTCTAAATGCCTATATATATTACATATTACAGATCTTCAATCTTAGACAGTTGAATGATTAAACTTTTCTCATAAAGATCTTAGAGTTGTCTATGCTGATAGCGGCAAATTTAGAGGAGAAATAGAAGGTGTCCATGGTGTTTCTGGTATCTAATAAAAAAAAAGAACTAAAACTATTAATGTTTTCAATGAAAACCACAGCTGGATCAAATCTGCACACGCAACGTTGACAGCCAGCAAGTGATATAATAATAAAGAAACTTATAAAATATGAAAAAGGATTCATCCACTATCTGTTAGTTGTGTCGCCTGCCTTCTCCAAACCTTGAAACCTTGAAAATAAATGTGTTTTTATTATACCGGTATATTAAGATACATACTCTCCTGTTCTAAAGGGGATGTCTTGTGGAGAGATATCTCAGCAGATGCTTGCTGACAGCACGGGTCGCTGGGCCTTCACCCTGACGACCCGGGCTGTCAGCAAACTCACCAACCACCTGTCCTTTTTTGGATAAATATGAACGCAGCAGTCCAGTTCACTCACTAATTTCCACACTATCCTCTATATCCAGTATGACAATTATAGCCTGTTTTAAATACATTTTGGTCTTTATTAAGGATGCATCTGCAGAAGAGCGGTTGTTATAATTAAGGCTAAAATAAGAGGGAGATGAGGGTGATAGGATGTGACTCCATGCAGATCTGTGAAAGGCCAAGGAGCTTCATCGGTGCAACATTGTGGTGGACGAAATATCCCACCCTGAAAGGCTTCTGCTGATCACCAAGGTGTTAGGCTTATTAAAGATCTGTGTTAGAGATGATTAATCCATCCAGAGGCTGGATGTAGATCTGATTGTGGTTTATATTCACATTATTTGGTGTTAGCTCACCGCTCAAACCTATCTTGTTTTCCAGTTATAGAAAGTAATTATAAGTTACAATTTTGCTAACTTTGCATATTTTTAGTAAAACAGTTCAGTAGACAAATAATCAGATACAGATTCGCCGATTACAAAGGGCTTTACCAACATTATTTTTGCTTTCCTTATGATACCATTTATTTTGTGATGCAACCAATGTTGCTTCCATCTCTGTACTTTACAACTGGTATGATGTTCTCTTCTTGTTTCCAGCAAATACTAAGTATTGGATTTTTCACACCATCATATGTCAAAGATCTTGGGTTGATTCCCAGATTTTACCCAAAAAAAAAACAAAACCTTGTACCTGAAGATGAACCAAACCTTCCTTACACCCTGGACTTTTTTTTTTCTTTTCTGTGTTTATGTCAAACAGAAAATCAGTTTGTTTTTACATCAACAGATATACCTCATACAACCTAACGCTTTAAATTAATCTGACATGTGTTAACAAAGAAAAGTCTGACTTTAAAGAAAATAATAAAGATGGAATTATAGGGAGCCCTGGGATGGACTGGTGAACTGTCCAGGGTGGGCTCCACCCCTTGGCAATAGACTGCTGGAGATAGACACCAGTCCAACCGCAACCCTGATGGAATAAGCGGGGGAAGATGGATAGAAAGATAAAGATTCTCTCTTAATATTCTTAGTATCAAATCATCTATAAAATTAAACCAAGACATTATAGTGTGATTTCATATTGGACAAGAAAAAAACAGGGCTGGTGTGTTTATGTAAGGTGAGTATAATTTTTATAAGTGTAGTTACCTTTTAAAGATGTTGTGATAGTTAAAGATATGCCCCTATACAGTGCATTAATCCAACACTTCTCTTTCAGAAGTGAATTCAGGTCTTTGACACAAGAAGTTGCCCCAAGCTTGTATAACGTTAGAGTGTTTTTTGATCCTCAGCAAACATTTTAGAACAGACAGAGCTATTCTAACAATTCCTATAATTCTCATTGAAATAATTCAAAAATAACTTTATCCTTCTCTCATAGAGATTTATTTGAGCTCTTATCATTTACCAGCTTGTCAAGCGAACTGTAATGCTTCCTTGTGTGGTCCACCCAGATAAACCGCAGAGCGGCTGAAGGCAGCGGCGGGGCTGCTGACCAGGATCGGGGGGAGAGCTCAGATTATGTAAACACACACCTGTTTAAAGCCTCCTATGACGACGATTCGTCGCAGATGCTTCAAAGACATTTTTGTTAAATCATCTCCCCTTTCACTTTTAAGAATCTAGGACTCTAAGGAAGGCTTAAAGAAGGTCTGAGTATCATTGGACCGTTGGCAATAGGGCATATTTCTATCCAAGTAGTTATACTATTAGTAACATATTTATCTATAAATGTTCAAATATTTTTAGCTATTCCCTTTTTTTTCTTTCCCCCTCTAAGCGTTGTTTTAATTATGGTTGCTGTGGAGGGTAAAAGGCTCGGTTATCTGGGGAATCATCTTCATGTAAATATGTGCCAATGGGAAGCACAGAGGCTCATTTCTGTTCCATGATGACTGGGTGATGCTCCTGAGTGGACGCAGAGGGGCTCATATTCAAAGCTTTTCCTGCAACAGTGAATGCAAGGAAAACAAAGCAAGCATCTGTTAAGTGTTTTGCACTAACAGTAGGACACTCATTTATTTACTGAGTGACTGGAGACGTGTGTAGCTTCACGTCTGAGTCGGAACAACCCTGGCATTTGCTCCCATAGCGCTCGCTGTTTATTTATTTTGCGTGAGATAGTATTTGTGTATACTGGGAACCTGTTTAACGCAGATCTCACTCGCTTCTTTGCTGATGCAGACACACACACAAACACACACACACCACCTCTCCATCGCTGTCATACGCCTACCGATTGGCTGCAGCTGAAGCAATGCATACGCTGTTCCCTAGCAACAGAGTGCCGGTTAACCAATAAGACACCTCTCTGAGAGGAACAGGCTACTTTTTTATTCCTCTGTTACTAAGGTGTATAGCAGACTGTTTAGGGTTCTTCTCTGTGCATGCATCTTTGCACCGTATATGTCTGCACTAGTGCCCTTTAGCTTCCTGCAGCAGGTAGCAGATTCTGTCCCTTAGCGTCATCAAGCTGCTGCAGACAAACTAAGGTGAGCATACATACTAGAGAGGAGGCAGGAGCTGAATTTAGCAGTTTACACACAAGCGGAGTGAGAGTAGGATGAAGTGAAGTTGTGACTTGATTTTTCCTGTTGCTTTCATTAGCTAATGCTAAAGCCGTATTATCTCCAGGGATTAGGGAGTTATCAGAACCATCCACCAGCTAAAGTTAAGACATAACCCTAAAAAACACAAATTAAGAAAATCACATTACAACAGTGTAATCCCTTCTGCTTGTTCAGTGCTACTGAAAAAAACATAAAAAAATTTCTCCCTTTAATTCAGGAGGGTAAACGTTGTGCTAGTCCCACAGGATTATCTTAATATGAGGGATAACACTTTGTTATGTCACAGTGGACGGAATGTGTTCTCATGACAGCGGGGTTACAAATCCTTTTAGTCAAATCAATGTGTGGTAGTGATGCGACAAATTTGACAAACGCTTCATCCAGCTGCTGGATGGCTATCAAGCTTTGCAAATATAAACAATATGTTTCTATCAGGACAACTGGCAGAAGTGGGCTAACCACTGCTCTGTAATCCTACCTTTAAGCTTGTTATACTTTTGCTACACTATAAAGAAGAGAAGGGCAAAAAATATTCAAATATGTACAAAAATTATGAAATAAACTACAACTAGGGGGCACACAGTGGTGCAATGGGTAGCCCTGCTGCCTTGCAGCAAGGTTACAAGTTCGATCCCCAGCCCGCAGTCTTTCTACATGGAGTTTGCATTTTCTCACTGTGCATGTTTGGGTTCTCTCCGGGTACTCCGGCTTCCTCCCACAGTCCAAAAACAGGTTAATTGACTTCTCTAAATTCTCCATAGGTGTGAGTGTGTGTCTGTGTGTGAATGGTAATTTGTCCTGTTTGTCTCTGTGTTGCCCTGCGATAGACTGGCGACCAGTCCAGGGTGTACCCTGCCTCTCGCTCATTGACAGTTGGAGACAGGAACCAGCACCTCTCACGACCCCAGCAGGAATAAGAATGATAGAAAATGGATGGATGGATGGATGGATGTTACATCTAATTATTTTTTTGGTCCTTTTATTTATTTATATTTTTGGCACTCGTCAAATCAATTAGCAATGGTTGCACCAAGCCATCTTGAACCCCTACTTGTTGTTTTGCAACCCCCTTTTCAAAGGGTCCCGAGCTCTACCCTGGAAAACCCTGCTATAGATTCTATGCAACCAGTGGAATTGGGTCTGTATGTAGGGCTGTTGCGCAAATGTGTTTAAGTTCATAAGTTTTATCAATATTTTCCTTAAAGTCAAAAATAACGCAGACTCTCAATCTCTTGCAGTGTTCTCTCTCCCAGGGAAGAAATATCAGGAGAAACAAAAACAACTTGACTAAATGAACTTCATTCCTAAACTCCTGCTCAAGTTATAGTCCTGAAACCACATTCAGGACCACAATCTGCAGACTGATCAAAAGCTAAGTGGACCTCTTAGAATTGATTCTTGCAAAAACAGACCGTTCTAAACAGTTCTCTCTAAGTTTGTAGAAATTACCAATTACCAATGACTGCAAACATGAGCATCTGAAAGAAAAGGGCAAAGGTGCCACAGCTCAGATCCATCCATCCAACACAGTCAGGGCTAAGCTTTCCTGAACTTTGGAGACGCCTCACCTTTTAAAAACAGATGTTATTGGTCTGAGAAAATAATAATAATTACTTGGAAATGATGGAAGTTGATGATTTTATGATATTTTAATGCGTTTACTCTTGTAACGGCTAACAAGAAAGCAATGATTGATAGCATGTTACCCCATGCAGACATGTCTTGAGTAAAGCAAACTTTATTTTATTGATGTCAATTATTATTATTATTAGTTATTATTATTCTACTAGTGGTTCCTAGAATTTCAGGCTCCTCTCCTGTGGAACCAACTACCAGTTTTAGACACCCTGTCTTCTTTTAAGACTAGGCTTAAAACTTTCCCTTTTGATAAAACTTATAGTTAGAGTGGCTCAGGTTATCCTGAGCTACGTATCTCTATAGTTCTGCTGCTATAGGTTTAGACTTCTGGAGAACATAGGGACCCCTGTTTCATCATTCTGCTTCATTCTATCTCTATTCTCCCACACTGCAGAATCTGTTAGTTCAATCTCTAATCTTATGCTCTCTCTGCTTTTTCTCATAGTAGCTTCGCCTCGTCTGTTCCTGTTTGGCTGTGACGCCATCCTGGAGAGAAATATCAGCTGTGCTGCTGCCATCAAAACCTTTGTGTATAGATGTTCGAGATTGGCCTGTTTTTCAAGTTGGCTTGGAGCTCGTCTGCCTGGCTGTGTATTTCCTGAACCGGGCCGCCTTTTACAGTTCCATTTTTATGTCTGCTTCTGTCTCCTTGAACCCCAATCAGCCTCTGCAGATGGCCGCTCACACTTAGGCTGGTTCTGCTGGAGGTTTTTTCCTGTTAAAAGGGAGTATTTCCTCTCCACTATCACTACAAGCATGCTTAGTGTGAGAGATTGCATTCACATCAATGAGTTGATGTAATCAACTGGCTTTCCTTAGAAAGAAAACTTTGAATCAATGTGACTGTATGATCTGGTGAACTGTAAAGTGTCCTTGAGATGACGTGTGTTGTGAATTGGCGCTATGTAAATAAACTAAATTGTATTGAATATTTCCAGCAGTTTTGCTCTTATGCTTTCATTTCCTTGCAATCAGTTTAATCTTATTTAGCATCTGCCTTTCTTGTTTGCCACTGATCATCCAAGTCAGTTCACCAGTGCTTAGCCTTGGTTTAGCTCATGTCCTACCTGTAAATTTTGGTCAGTTTTCTTTCAGCCCATCATGGTTGAATACATATTACATGCCTCTTTACCACAGATGCCATGCCAGTTTAGCAACTACTTCAGCGTGTCAGTTATCTTTTACTTTATCAAATGCTATATAGGTCCATCCAAGCGCAACATTCCCTGATACTTATAGAGTATGCTACACTATCCAAAAGGTGAGAAACATCAGAGAATATTTAAATTTCAAAGAGCCTTTTAGCCAATAGAGGAAGAGACATTCTAGGGTACCAGATGCAGATTTCAACAATACACCACAATGGGGCTCTCACTACCCGATCCGTCCTGGAAGCACAATCCGTACCATCAGCTTATTTGCGCATGAGCAACCAGATATGCATCTGAGTCGATTTTGATTTTATTTTGTAAAAAAAGTCCTAAATTAAATTTTTCCCGCCCCAAAAATAGTTAAAGCAGGGGTTTTCATTGTTTTACAGGCCAAGGACCCCCAAACTGATGGCGAGATGGAGCATGGGACGCCCTAATTATATATATATATATATATTGTATAAAATTGTGTTAAATCAAACTGGTCCTATAGTCACCCTATTACAGCTGGATTCATGTAATGAAAGTAATTTTGCCCTGGGATTATTAAAGTATATCTGATTCGGATTCTGATTCCTCGTTGATGGGACAGGTGAATGAAACGGCGCCCAGCTTGAATAAGCTCCTATGGGTCGCTGAATGTGTGTATTGATGATTGAAAGACATCTTCTGCCTCCATTTATCTGCTTACTACAGTGTGTTGAATTCATGTTAATGTGTATTAGTGTACATATCAATTAGTAGAAAAAATTGCAGCGGGGGAATAAAAAAAAAAAAAGTCTAATCAACCAAAAAGCAATTTAAAAGAGAAAATGTAAAAAGCATCAAAAGTGTCTCAAAAAGTCATAAAGCATTTTTAAAGATGTGTATAAGCATTCTTTAGTGAGTTAAGGATAGAAATAAGTACGTTTATTACCATAATTACATTATATATGGAAACTTGGATGTATATCTGGTTGCGCATGCGCAGATGAGCTGATGGTATGGAACATGCTTCCAGGAGGGATCGGGTAGTGACAAAGACAACAAAGTTGCACAAAAATAAGCATAAAAACAGCTCATAAGTGCCATATTGTCAGCTATGGGGGAAGGGAAATGCAGCTGTAGACCGACCAAACAGTACATAGATAAGGACATTCATAGGGCACATAGTTTGTGTTTTTGTTTAGAAGTCAAAACCACTTTCCAAAACCATATTTGATTAGATGACAGAGAACGTCTGGCTTTCCAATGGTAGTCCCTCACTGCACTGTCTGATGCTGGATAAGAGGAACCCTACTAACATCTATAGACTGTTTCAGAATTTAGGTTCTAGGGATATCACAAACTCCAGCCCTAGGAAAGTTTTATATATAAGTGAGTGTCAGAGCATCTTAGACTTACAGAGTTTCCTGTATGTGGCGTGAGGCTGAAGTCCTGCCGATCAGGTATGATGGGGGAGGATTTTAGGGGGGGAGACAGGGTGAGGTCTCGCCGTAGTGGCCGTGAATCCATTTTCTCTCCCTGTCTGTCCCCTGTGTGTGTTGAGTCTTTAGCCCCCTCCCTCCCCTCCCGATTCTTATGCCTCTGTCTTGGCGCGCCGTGTGAATGCCCCTCTACGTGGGTGTGCCCATGCCTTTCCTCCCCATGCCCATGGGGCTTGTGGGTAGTGGAGTCTCTGGGTTGTAAAGGCTTCATCTCTATCTCGTAGTTGCTGATCTTCTCCTCGTCCTGCTCCAACAGTCGTCCCCCCCTGCTGTGCGTTCCTCTGTGTCCAGACGTCCAAGTGGTGGATGATGATGACTCTGTCCACCTGTCTCCTCTAGCCTGTCTGTGATTGGTAGAGCCATGTTCCCGTGTTTTGTGATTGGAGGAGCTGTGTTTGTGTCCGTTGGTCCGGCTTCCTCCTCGGCCGCTGATCCCGCTCCCCCCTTTTGACAGCATTCCCCTCCTCCTGTCCTCACTCCAGCTGTTGGCCCGTGGATACTCCTCTTTTGTCCCTCGCTCACCACCCCCGCTGCCTCCCTCCATCAGCACTTGGATCTCCGTGTGCACCCTTTCCCCACCTTTCTCGTTTCTGTCCCCCCCCTCCTTCCCCCTGTCCCCATGGTCCACGGCGGTCTGACGGTGGAAACGGGCGCTCTTGCTGCGCTGTGAAGGCCGAGCAGGTGGAGGTGGCGTGTGGGGCGGTGAAGAAGAAGGTGGGCTGAGGTCGGGGCTG